ATTTTTTCTTTGCACCAGACTGGCACTACTTCTATGCATAGTCCCGACTCTCCACATTGTGTATTTGGAGCTGTTCCAAATGGAGATTTGTGGCACATTCTCAGCTGTTTCCATTTCTAATTCTTTGATAAGATCCAAACCTCATTAGGCTATCAGGAACATTTGATGTTCTCTTTCCAATCATATTTTTTTCATATCAAGACACTTGGGGAAATCTGAGAGACCTCCCTTTTCTGTCCAAAATTGACAATTCTCTCTTGCTGCCAAATTCATTCTGTGATGCCACAAACCCAGGAGGAAACTATTTCAATCACCTCCCACAAGGGATTGGGCTCAGGTAACAGATCTTGTTTGGCATGGAAGCAAAAACAGTATAATAAAATATTTTACTAATGTCTTTGGATCACTATTATAATAAGGTCAATTCTCAGTGCACAGCATCTTAGAGGGATAAGAAGGAATTACAACTGCTACTCCTGCCCTTTTTCATCACTGTTCACACCCAATATCTACCTCAGCATGAGTCTAAATGGCTTTATAATGAAGCTTTACAGTAGTTAAATTGTGCTTTTTAAAAACTATACATTAAGAATCCTCAGTCTTAAGACTACCTCCTTCAGGGTAAAAGGTAGTCTGGTCCACAACTATTGAAACTGCTCTTATGAAAAAAAGTAACACTGTGCCCTGAAAGAATTCTACGTGTAATGATAGAGCATAATCTTTCTGTACGAGCTTTGATTACAGTGTGAAGGGAAAAAAACCTTAGAGCAGGAGGAACTCAAATAGGAAGAAAGAAGAGCATCTAGGTGAGAGGACAGAAAAAGTCACAGAAAGCACAGGTGTAGGTGGTGATAGAAACTGAACCTCACATACTTCACAACTGGGGCTACATTTCCCCTGCTGTTTCCTTTTCAACGTGCCAACATTGAATCTCTATGGGTAATAAAAATTGAAGTTAGTATAGTTATCTTTCGAATAACCAGGAGAAAAAGAGCTAGACTCATGTCAGGACAGATGCACTTCCACCTGTTAGGAAAGCACATTATTTTACTGAAGTTTTTTTGTTTTTGTTTTTTATTTTTTGAGTGTTTTTTGCTATAGGGCACATGTGCTCGCCAGACAGACAGAGAGAGACAGAAAGACAGAAAGCAAGAAATCACTCCCCAGAGGGGATGGCCACACCGCAATCCCTTCTCCTCCATTCTCCTCTCAGGATCTTGGGTAAACACGCACACACGCCAAGCGTGAGTTTTAAGCCACTGGGTCTGGGATGCGAACCGCGGTCAACTACATGGGAGTCCAGCAACATAGCCATTATGCTAACTGCTGGTCCCAATTTTACTGAAGTTTTTAAAGTCAGTATCAGGTAAATTATTCACAATGGCCAGAACCATATACTTCTTTCAAGTACAAAGTTGTACAGATGAATTCAAGAGAGAAATAATTTATGCTCTACTTTTCTCTAACACCCTATCTTAATCAACAGCCCTAGCTGTATATATATATATACACACACACACATACACACACACACACATATATAAAATACATACACCTATACTATGTAATTTAGAGACTTTTGTGCTTTAAGTTTAAGAAAATGAAGTAAAGAAAGGTTAAAATGCACTTGTAAGTGGCAATTGGTTGAAAAGATGATGAATTAGTTAGTGTCTGTTTCTATAATTCACAGAAGTCAGAGGGTACATTTGCAGAGTAGTGTCCTATGAGTTAAATTTGCTACTTGTGATAATGTTGTCATGATTTTCTTAAAGGCAGATGTTTTTGACTCTTAGTGTTCTCTGGCATTCATCTAAAGTAACTCACTCAAGTAGGCTTAAGGAAATGTGCATAATTCTCTTCAACCAAGAACAATTTTCCAGTCTCTCAGGTATTGGAAGATGGCTCTAGAAATAAGGGTCCATTTATTTCTGTGCACCTGTGATTTTGTTCCTAAGTGATGTGAATGATTATTGAGTATCTAGTTCAAAATAAGGACTTCCCTTTTCCAAATTACATAGCTTCCTTTTTATTTTGAGATGAATCAAGAAGTCATTGCCTGATGTTTATTACATTATCTTCTATATTATACTTGAAGAGAAAAAACAGGTAATTATTTAGCCAGATTGGTGGAAAAGGAGAAAAGGTACCTTCTTATTGTTTTGAATTAAAACAAAGGACATAATTAAAATACTTTGTAAAACAATGCTAGAGTGGACATTTCATTTCTATTGTATGTTTCTATATTACACTAACATTTTTGGTTGCAGATAAGTGAATCATAATCTATATTACCTCACATATCATATTTTGGTATGTGAGTAATATCAACAACCACATTTCTTACAACCCTCTTAAATACATACAAACACTCACTGACTTTTTAATTGTTCATAGTTCTACATTAACAAAACACTCACTGAAAACTGCCTAATGTTGACCATCAATTCTAGGTCCTTGTGAATATTTAAATAAGGAAAGAATATAACCTATCAATAATTGATAGAAAAATTTTAGTCTCCCAAATTCCCTTGGAAAACTTAGAAGAAAAATAGGCAAACAGGGAAAGAAGGTATCTCTCGCCATGACTGTCAACCACCATATGCAACACATTGCTTTCTTGCTACTCATTTTTTACTGTGATATTGATCCAGGCAAAGAACTCTGCATTACCATTGGGTTATTTTATATATATATCCCCTAAGCCCAGGAGGAAGTTGAGTTCCTCTGTGAAAAGCATCTTTGCATGCAGTCAACTCCCTGCTTTAGAGCACCTCCCATGGTTTCGGCCCATTAACCCGAGCACAACAGCTTGATGAATTAATGCTTATATAGGCACAGTTGGCAGCTTCTAATTAAATAATTATGGCTAAGCAGCTGCACAGAAGCTGTTATGCACCCTAGAAAGCCAGCTGTCAGTTTTATTGGCCCTAAGATAAAGGAAGAGTTAACACTTATCTATGGGTGTTGGGTACATAAAGGAAGTGTATCATATGCAAGATATATGCTGTTAGTATGAAGTTCCTGTAAGTTTGTACAAGGTTGTCCATGGAAAGCAAACTGCTTCTTGGCAATCTCTCAGCAATTCCACAAAGAAAGAAGGAAACAATTATATGATCAGGAGAACAGAGTCTGTCCAGAGAACTCTAAAGAGAATATAGGGATAGGCAAATGTGTCTTTGATGAACACAAAATTGCCACTGACCTAATAGCCAAATACATTTCTGGCTGTGGCTCTCATTTAGGTGAGCAAGTAACTAAAAATCCAGATTTTTTTTTTTTTGGCAGGGCTGGGGAGATAACACTAGAATGTTCTCATTTATTTGGCTGCTATTTTTTAAGATGGTATGCTTTCAAAGGTTAAAAATAGAAGAAACAAGTAAATATCACAAAATGTAAATGATCTTAGAAATACATTTTACCAAAAAGTTTGGGAGAGTTATTTGTTCTACAGAATCACAGATAACGTCAGAGTCTTTTATAGAAGGCTAGAAAGCTGGAGTCTTATCTCTCTACACTCGTGGGAAATTCGGCATTAGAAAGAAAGCAGTACCTGGAGACTAAGCTCTGGCATAGAGGAAGACATAGATTATAGATAAAGGCCATAGATAGGGTTATTGGACCAAATAACGTGTGTGATTACACATCAGTACACCCCTGGACTGATAACTGATTCTGTTTTTCTCCACAGGCTGTCCTGTCTATGCAATCCATGTGTCTTCACTTCTAAAAACCAAATACGTGTGATAACCCAGGACAGAACATCTCTGCTCCCAAGGCCTCTTCAGCAAGGTCCCCACCTCCATCACCAAATGAATAGCTATAACAGGCAAAAATCAACTCAAACAATTCAGTCCTACTTTTATACTTACAGAAATTTAGACAGTTTAACCCTGAATTCTGGATTCACTTTAAAATAATAAAAAAGGGAACTGAAAGTTAACACTGAAAACATATTTCTTGTGGAATTCACTTCACCCAACTCCAAAGTCTATTGAAAATCAGCATTTAAATCAAACAACAAAGGGCATAGGCTGACTTACTATTCTTTTTTCAGAGATCAATGGCTTAAAGTTTATAGCTTAAAATAATGCCATTTCATAAAATGAGACAATCTATATTCTTAGTTCATTTAAACAAATAAATTGACCTCTGAGAACCCCTTTACTTAAAAGACAGATGAATAATTCTCTCTCTCTCTCTCTCTCTCTCGCTTCTTCCCTTTTATACCAGTAATTCTATCACCTTGGCTATCTGATGGTATTTGCAATTGATTGACAATTCTCAAGGATCTAGTTCCTTTTAGATGGATCTTAAATGAAGTTCAGCTTAATTATGTCGGCAGTGCAACTCCAATCTCAGTACAAAATACTAAAGAATCAAACAGCAGATTTGTAAAGCCCATAAAAGCAAATTTCAGACTTGAGGGAGAAAAGGAGACCTTTCAGCAGTCTGTACTGCCACCTAGCCAAGACCACACCATTCAGTGCAACATCCATTTGTGTTTTCAAAGCCCCTGATGAAAGCAAGTCTTCAGCAATCAGCTTAATAGGCCCCAAAGTTAAGCTAACAGAATAGACAGGAGTATTTCACCCACTCTGAGTCTACTAAGCCTCTGCGGAACAGCCAGGGTACAATCATTGACCTTATCTTACCAAGTCAATATCCAGCAAGCAAAAAAGACATAGATGCCTGCTTCCATTCCACAAATTACCTACACCAATATCATTTGCATCTTGTGATTTTTTAAGGCCTTTCACTATTCGGTGATCTCGAGAGTTGGGAAAATGGATAAAAGTTCCCTTAGGTAAGCCATGAGACCTGAATTATAACCTCTAACACTCCTAGATACAATTCAAGAGTTAAGACAATTGCAAACTGCATTTCTTAGATATTGGCAGAACATGTGGACCATAAACATCTGTGAGGAAAACTGACACACACACACACACACACACACACACACACATATACACAAAATAAAAAGAATCCTTTATACTTACGGTAGAAGACATATTCAGTGTAGCTTGACCAGATCTTGTCATCTGTATATTGGTTGACGAAAGATGCTGTCACTGATGAGTTACAGGCCACCATGTGGAATCCGCACTCTGACAACATATCAAAAGCCCTTTCCAGATGCTTGAATTTGAGATAAAACCTGGAGGTATATCTTTCTGGGGCTCGGTCAGGGTCTCTGCTTTCATTCAAAGTTTCTCCAAAGACTTCCTTTGCCAAGGAAATCCTTCCACAAACCAAAATCCGAGGAACTCTCCGAAACTTGGCATCTGCTTGCCCCTCTCTGCCCAAAGTGCAGGATCCCCTGTAACCCACAGTAATGAAACCCCACTTGCGGTCGGCAGGGAGCAGGGAAGAAGGGGGGCAGATTCTTGTGTCGCTTCCTTGGGAGGCATCTTCAAAGTCACTGTGGCAGAATTCATCCGGGCTTTGCTTGATGTCATCAGGGGTCAGGAGTTTGACCAAGTCTGGGAGCTGAAAGTACTCAGCTTCCCTTTTCAGTCTTCCCCTTTCTGGAAAGTGATCAGGCAGGACCACCTGCCTGTCCCTGAGATAGTCCAGAATATAACGGAACAAAAATCCATCTCTGTCAATGAAAAACCTCCCCTTAGAGTCCTTGGCTAGATCGTTAGCCATGTCTCTCTTTGGGGAAAACATTTTCCACAGGAGGGAATGAGGGATGCTTATTAATGTGGAATGGCGAGTGAAATAAACTTGACCCCCGACATTCAGCTCTATGAGCTCAGGGAAAGAGTTGGGAACTGCGGCCCCTTGATCTCGAGGATAATAACGACTACAGTTTCCACTCAGAGCCATTGTCCCTTTCTTCTTCTATTTTGATTTAAAGGTGCAATTTAATGGAGTCCCAACCTTTTCCTTTGCATTGGTTTGTAAGTGAGGGAAAGGATGCTAACTTATTAAAAAACAGCTTCCTTCTACTCCAGTTTTTTCCCAAGAAGCAAAATTTAGAAGAGTCCACAGGTGAAGTGATGCTGAAAAAAGTAGTTTAAACCCTGGCTGGTGGTAAGCTATTACTTCATGGCATATAAACAACTCATCTACATCCGATCTTCCATCAAGCTCAGGAGGCGAGGCAGGCCAAGTCCCCAGTTACTCAGAGGTCCATCTGAAGGAAAAGAGAAAAAACATATTTCCTGAAACCCAGAATGAGTCAGAAAAAGAGAGACCTCTGGAGAGAGAAGACAGAGGGAGCTGGAGGGAGGGAAGAAGAGAGGGAGGGAAAAAACGAGATTATTTTACATAAGCAACCCCAGAATTACTGATTTCAGCCATTCCTCAATTAAACCATAGCTTCCCTCACACTATTTTGTGTCTGCATGTTTATCCAGAACCTCCATCACCAGCAATTAGTACTGAAAAACAACTCTATTTGTAATTCTGCATTAAAAAGGAATATGCTATTTCCAACTTCTAAAAGGGGATTTTTTTTTTTCCAGCCGGACAGGAAAAATAGTAAGTCTTGTAGCTTACCTTAGTGGGTGCTGGAGACCCAGTTCTTGTGAAGAAATAAACGTGTGCGAGGTGCAAGGCAACCAGAATCCACAGCAACACTGAGTCTGGATCTTGACAAATCCCAAACAGGTAAAGGACAGAGGTATCAATGAAATGTGCCCGAGAGATGCGCTCTTGGAAAATAATTATTATATGTGTGTGTGTCTTTATATAAATGTATATTTGTATATATGTATGTGCGTATGTATGCATTCACTCCCAATCTCAAGTTAAAACAAGTCACAAGAAAAGTTAAACCGTGAACAGAGGAGGTTGATTTGAAGAAGTAAAGCAGAGAAAAATATCCAACCAAAGCTTTTCCAGACAAAAATCAAACCTTTAGGAAGGATCCTTAAAACAGAAGAGAGTTGCAAAAGGTACCAGGACTTAGAAGCTTTTCAGAAAGCCCAGAAGCAGAAAGCAAGATGTGCCCTGCTGGGGTCCCAGGTAGCCACCCCACCTGCCAGCAAGGGCAAAGGGACTCCCATGTTCCCAGCCAGTTGGGAGCCGGTGGGAGCCAGAGGCGGCGGCGGCAGCAGCGCAGAAATGCCGGCGGGGGGCTCGGGCTCTGGCTTCTCCGCGGAGGAGCTGGGTGGTTCCACAGTTCCCAGTGCAGTTCGGATGCTGTTGTTTCAGCAGTGCAGGCAAGAAACCATCCAGGGAAATGACTATTACATCATCTTAAAGGAATATGGCTTGGAGAAAGCGGAGGCAGCTCCGAGTCACGTCCTCCTCGGTGACAGGTTGCGAAGACTGCACGGGGACGCCGCGCTCGGGCGGTGGGCACGCGACTTCCAGTTGTTCCGTGCTGGGGCGGGGATGCAGCGCTGCGCAGCCACTTGCCTCCCGTCCTGTCCCGGAGTCCAGAGTTTCCAAGGGCTTTTTCTTTGCCCCC